GGGGTAAGGAGGGGAGGCTAGACCGTCCAAATTCACAGACTCTTTTTTTCCGGTCTTCCTGGTCTACCAAGGACCCGGCCCGTCGAGACCGGGGAGTCTGGGTCCTCCGGAGGACCCGGCCTGTCGTTTTGGACACAGCCAATCTCCTCTCATCACTGAGGTCCTCCATCTACACGACAGAGAGGGGAACACAAAAATGACTCAGCAACTGAAAATATGGATGGAGGACCTCAGTTTAGCTTGTTTGTCGGGCTAGCACTGAGCTAATATATATAAGGCAATATAGCGTCGGTGCTAGCGCAAAGGCTAACACGCTTGTATTTTGAGTTAAAGATGCTTTAGTTTCATTAAGGGTGAAGACATAAACAAACATTGGTTTGAAATAGGTTTGGTTAATAAATACAATTCAAAAGTGTAATTCATCAACAGTTAAAATAGTGATTTATGCAATAATTAAAACTATATATGTCATTGGTTAAAATGGTTCTAGGACCTTTACMCCCCAGGACAAAGGTGATTACATTACTATTGTGTTTTACAGCATAAATGTTTTCTGTTCTGGTTTTTTGTAATATTGTGTAGAAGAGGTCTGGTTAGTATGTGATGAGACAGAGTACAGACACTCCTGTTAAACTGTATTTTTTTGTTTTTGCAGTTTTTACAGAAATAAATATGTTGCACTGGAGATGAGTTGGTCCATCATTTTCTACAGTTTAACAATTCTATCGTTTTAGGAAAGACAAAAAACAAACCACAACAACAGTTTTTGTCTATCCAACTTGCCTGTGAGTTGTCTTCCATGACATAACGGATCTTCTCCACCACATCGATGCGGCGCTGTCGATGCAGGGCGCTGATCAGCTTGGCCAGGTTGGCGTCACTGTCTCGTATAGTCCAGTGCTGCAGCGCTGCGTACGCCCGCTCATGATCGCACGAGTAGCCATTGRAAAAGGCAGACACCTCTCGCTCTGTGGTGGTGCCCAGTGACTGATAGATGCTAATCCACTGGGCACCGAGCTGGGCTGCCACAAGCTTCAAGATATCCACCCCTGTACAAATTAATAATAAATAAAAATTACAATTACAAAGGACATAGAAATGTTTTTAAACCAATAATTAACTGTTTCATACCTAAAAAGGAAAGAAAACTGATTGGATGAACGAAGGAAAATGGAAAAAACATGGTTACAATAATCTTCTCAAACAGATTAAATGCTTCCAGAAATAAATAAAAAAAGTTTTGCATTGGCAGTCAGGCATTTTAATGTTAAACACACTTTTCATCAGTTGGCATAAGTTGTCTAAACTGTTATAGTGTAATAGGACCTTTAGGTGTGTCTCAGATCAACTCGTTTTTGAGGCTGTCTCTTTAAATCCAAAGGAGGCTTCACATCCTGCATCCCTCCAGCTTCCAGACCGGTTTATTACAGTTTGATAGAGGAGTTTATGACAATATAGCTGCGCAGAAACATTTGGTTTACAAATGAATTAAACAATGTCAACAAGAGAAGACTTGTCCACCCAGCCTCACATGTTGGAGCCAGAGTTTGACCCAGAACCAAAGGAGAATGAAGACCACCAAATTGTGTTTGGTAAGTTCAGACCTTATTTGGCAGTTCTGCCACAAATACTGTGACATAATAGTTCAGAAAACATCATAGACAACAGAGAAAACTGAAACGAGTTGACAAATATGACCTAAAATGTGGATTTTGTATACGTACCCTTTAAACTAAGGGTGTCAAACTCCAGTCCTCGCGGGCCGCTATCCTGCATGTTTTATAAGTTTTTCTGCTCCAGCACACCTGACTTTGATGGATAGGTGATTAACAGGCTTCTGCACAATTTGAAGAGTTAATTCAATCACTGAATCAGGTGTGTTGGAGCTGGAAAACCTCTAAAACAGAGATTCTTAACCCATGGCAGCGCCACCTCGAGGGCCTCAAAAGAACAAAATTTTAACTTTGGGCCACAGAGGGCCGTGGGACCGCATTGATTTTAAACAAAGTGCAATACACTTTCTCACCACAAGAAGCAGTAGTGTGCCACTCAGTTCTTTAACAACCTTTTTAATATGTAGAAGAAGAAACTTAAAACCTGCTGAGAATGGAAACTTGTTTTAAATGAAAAGTAGAAGCAAAAATGAAAGTAACTCGTCAAAAAACACCAAAGTTTGTCACTAATATGAAGT